TCAGATTGATTATATTCTCTGCAGCCAAAGATGGAGAAGCTCTATATAGTCAGCAAAAACAAGACCTGGAGCTGACTGTTGCTCTGATCTTCAGTTTCTTATAGCAAAATGCAAGCTTGAACTGAAGAAAGTAGGAAAAACCACTGGGCTAGCCAGGTATAATCTAAAGCAAATCCCTTATGAATACAGAGTGGAAGTGAAGAACAGATTTAAGGAACTAGTTTTGGTGGACAGAGTGCCGGAAGAAGTATGGATAGAGGCTCGTAACATTGTACAGGAGGCAGCAACAAAACCATCCCAAAGAAAAAGAAATGCAAGAAAGCAAAGTGGCTGTCCAACAGGGCCTTACAAATAGCAGAGAAGAGAAGGAAAACAAAATGCAAGGGAGATAGGGAAAGTTACAGAAAATTGAATGCAGACTTCCAAAGAATAGCAAGGAGAGACAAGAGGGCCTCCTTTAATGAACAGTGCTAAGAAATCAAGGAAAAAAACAGAAAGGGAAAAACCAGAGATCTGTTCAAAAAAATTGGAGATATTAAAGGAACCTTTTGTGCAAAGCTGGACATGATAAAGGACAAAAATGGTAGGGACCTAACAGAAGCAGAAGACATCAAGAAGAGGTGGCAAGAATACACAGAGGAATTATACCAGAAAGATTTAGATATCCCAGACAACCCAGATAGTGTGGTTGCTGACATCCTGGAGAGTGAAGTCAAGTGGACCTTAGAAAGCATGGCTAACAACAAGGTCAGTGGAGCTAATGGCATTCCAGTCGAACTATTTAAAATCTTAAAAGATGATGCTATAAAGGTGCTAAACTCAATATGCCAGCAAGTTTGGAAATCTCAGCAGTGGCCATGCCCCTCTGAGGGGCAGTTACTTCCCAATCCCAGAGAAGGGCAGTGCCAAAGAATGCTCCAACTACCATACAATTGCACTCATTTCACACGCTAGCAAGATTATGCTCAAAATCCTACAAGGTAGGTTTCACCAGTATGTGGACCAAGAACTCCAAGAAGTACAAGCTGGATTTTGAAGGGGCAGAGGAACTAGAGACCAAATTGCTAACATGCGCTGGATTATGGAGAAAGCCAGAGAGTTCCAGAAAAACATCTGTTTCATTGATTATGCAAAAACCTTTGACTGTGTGGACCACAACAAACTATGGCAAGTCCTTAAAGAAATGGGAGTGCCTGACCACCTTATCTATCTCCTGAGAAACAGTTAGAACTGGATATGGAACATCATGTGATAGGCCGGACTGGATGAATCCCAAGACGGAATTAAGATTGTCGGAAGAAATATCAACAACCTCAGATATGCAAATGATACCACTCTGATGGCAGAAAGTGAGGAGGAATTAAAGAACCTCTTAATGAGGGTGAAAGAGGAGAGTGCAAAAAATGGTCTGAAGCTCAGTATGAAAAAAACTAAGATCATGGCAACTGGTCCCATCACCTCCTGGCAAGTAGAAGGGGAAGATATGGAGGCAGTGACAGATTTTACCTTCTTGGGCTCCATGATCACTGCATTTTGAAGGAAATCCACCCCGAGTTCTCACTGGAAGGACAGATCCTGAAGCTGAGTCTCCAATACTTTGGCCATCTCATGGGAAGAGAAGACTCCCTGGAAAAGACTCTGATATTGGGAAAGTGTGAAAGCAAGAGAAGGGGATGACAGAGGATGAGATGGTTGGACAGTGTCACCGAAGCTACCAACATGAATTTGACCAAACTCTGGGAGGCAGTGGTAGACGGGAGGGCCTGGCGTGCTCTGGTCCATGGGGTCACGAAGAGTCAGAAAGGACTTAACTACTAAACAACAACAAGCAGCATGCAATTTAGGAATGATGAACAGCTTACCTTTGGAGAGGTAAATAGTTCAAGACCCATTGAACTATTTACCTCTGCAAAGCATCAGCACTGCTTCATACACAACAGCTGAAATCCAGTAATAAGTCACAAATGAAGTAGGCCTACTGAATGAATAGGACTTATGGAGGAGTTTACCCATTTGCTATCTGTTGATTCAGTGGGCTTTTTCACCTTGTGTCATGCTACTGGATTTCAGCCTTTTTTTTAACTCAAAGCTGTGAGTGCTTGTCACCAATTTATATCCTGCTTTAGCTCATGGCAAAACTCTGTTCAGTTAAAGAAGGAATGGTACTCCAGCTGAATGTCTCTGTTGACATGAGTCATGACTGAGTGCCACACCTGCTTTTTGAGCAAGATTCAGGGGATGATAATAGTTTAAGGCTGTGATCCAGTTGATTGTTATTATGATCTACAACTTGAGAACCTGAGATATGGCCAGATCCGTAGGGACACAACAATTTTTTTGAGAGGGAAGGGGTGCAGGAAATGGGGACTAAAGGAGAACGTGTTTAAATGATTCTTGTAAAAGTTGACATAATATAAAAGACTAAAAACATAACAGTGGGTTTATCTGCAGACTAGGAGTAAAGGCAGGACTTAGTCTGGAAAGCTGAAGGCCAATTTTTTAAGGCAATCCTCTCCTACGTTCCTCTACATCAAGTGTTCTTGGACTACAGCTCCCAGAAATCCTGGAGAGCACAGGTAGTAGTGAAGGTTTCTGGGAGTTTTAGTCAAAGAATACCTGAGGACTCAAGGCTGGGAACCACTGTCCTAGAGGATGCCTAGGGTTATAGGGGAAAAAAATGTTTTCGACCATGTCTAGATACTGACTTGTACTCAGGACCTATCCAAATGCATAATTATTCAGAAATAAGAAGGAAATCAACAGGAAGTACTCCCATATAAATCTCCATCACCTCTTGGCATGAGTTTTTACTATACTTTGAACATCATTATCTCTTGTTTTATATTTTCTGCAGTTGACTGACTTCCATAATGTTCTTAGCAAATGGATGGTGAACCTACTAACTCATCTGGTGCCAGAGTATACTTGTCACAATACTCTCCCTTTGAGTGACGTGGAAGCAGTGAGGCAGGCAGAGCAAAAAATGTTGAACATTTTCAATCTGGAAACCGAGGCCACAGGACTGGCTGCAAAGCTGAGCAAGTTCTCCTGTTACATAGTCAGGTCTGATTCATTCTTCTGAATCTCATGTACTTTAGCAGATTGTTTTCTTAATGTCTTCTTATCTGGCTTGGAAAAAGCCTATGGCGGAAAATCTGTGTACCAGTAACCTAGGAGAAGCTCAGGAACTAAGCAGAGTAAGATACATCTAGTGCCCTCTGGTTCTGAGGTACCATATAGTAAATACTGCAGCATCTTCTGAAGCCCTGGTAATTAGCACACTTAATAGCATAAATTTCTGAGGGAGGAAGGGGCGGAGCTAGAAATTCTGGCTCCCCAGAATTCTGCTGCATGCCGTGAATCCAGGCTCCCCCCAAGAAATTGGGGGGGACAGGGAGGGCCAGGAGCGGCCACCCTGAGTTGTAGGAGAGCTGAGATTGCCTGGGGTGGTGGTGGAAGGCTACCACTCCTCGGGTCATCCTTTCTCCAGACAGAGGATTCCTCCGACGCCATTTTCTAATGTCGTCTTAGCTGTGAAGCTCCATGGGCAGGAGGGAAGCATCAAGATTTACAAATGACTGCATGAACAGGGACTAATTGATTTCAACATGGCTTCAGTAAGTACAAAATAAACTTAAGTGGATGATTTTAAAGAAGATAGTGTAATATTGGAAGTGGCTAACAAGCTTTAAACCCAGACATATCAGTAATTTAGTACTACGTCACATCACGCCTGAAACAGAAACTGGAAACTGATAAAGACACAGACACACACACAGACTTGTTCCTCTTATCCCCTGTCCTCGGATGCATGGAATAATTTTTATAATAGAAAATAAGATGTTTAAGGAGGCGAGATCCTGCGAGAGGTGGATTTTAACCTAACGAAGTTTTATTATGACTGAATCTACAATTGAAGCTATCTGGTGAAAGTTAAAGTCTGGGCTAGCATAATAAATCAGCAGCTCTACTGAGGATCTGACTTTTATTACTTAAGTATTTTATGGCTCCCGACTGGAAGAAGTAAACAAGCTGTTTTGGTGGCTATTCTCTTCACGATAGGGAATGTTTCTGTATGTGAGATGTATATTTTGAAACCAGACAGCATATTTTGCCCATCATCTTCTCAACAAAGATGGATTCAACAGAAAACCTGATAAACGCTTTACAGAATATGCAAATTAATATTTTGAACCATCTTACAACCCAGTTTTCTGAACTTCAGACATTGATTTCAGACATGAAGGGAACGGTAGAGCTTTGGGAGATGCCAGACCAGCGCATTGAAGCAGCACGAGAGAGAGACTTTATTTGTTTCTAGAATGGAGGGGGAAACCCTCAAGAAGGGAGTTAGAAAAATTAATTTGTATTGTGAGAGAGAGGAGCAGGTGGATGAAAAAGAGATGTGTTTTAATCTGATGGGTGAATATTTAAAACAGGGAAGTGGAAAGGCGAGGCTGAAAGGGGAAAGAAATACTGATTACAGACCAGACATTGATTGGCTTCAAAGGCAGAACATGACTGATGGAAAAAATCCACCAAACCAGAGAGAAAATAGTCTAAAACAGTTCTACAGATGGCATTTTAAAACTAGTAAAAAAGATGCAATTTAACTTTAGGTTAATAATGCTATAAGAGATCTGGAATCCCTGTCCTGTGCATAGAGTTAAGATTTATAAACTAAAAAAGGGGGAATGTTACTTGATGAATATAACAATAGAAATTTTGAAATTGAGAATTTTTAACTATATAATCTGAAATATCTATGATGAATACAACATTAGAAGCTGTTGACTGTAGAGCTTTTACTTAGAGATACATAATATGTGATGAATATAGCAACAAAAATTATAGATTGAGGGGCACACATGTATCCATAAAATAGATGTGTATTCACGAAGGCTTTCACGGCCGGGATCTAATGGTTGTTGGGGGTTTTTCAGGCTTCTTGGCCGTGTTCTGAAAGTGGTTCTTCCTGACGTTTCGCCAGTCTCTGTGGCCGGCATCTTCAGAGGACAGCAAACTGTGCTCTGGGTAGGCTTGAGAGTGGGTGGAGTATTTATGGCTGTGAGAAGGCTAGTTTGTGAGATCGGCTATTGTCCTGATCAGGAGATGGTTGATTAGTGTGTTTTGTTGTGGCTGTATTGTTTTGATAAGGAGGGGAGATTATCTGTCCCTGTGGTTGATGGGTGTCATTAGCTGTTTTTTTGTGTGCAGTAATCCCTTGACCTTGTGGCTGGGTGGAGTTCCTTGACCTTTTGCACTCTGTGTTTTTGAGAGCTGGGAGCCAGGTTGTGTATTTTATCTCCCTGTCTGTTCATCTTTATGCGGAACATATCCTACCAAAAACGGATGAAATTCAGATGAAAATTGATGGAAGCAACATCAGTAATTTAAGATACCATATTACTGGCAGAAAGCAGCAATGGCATGAAACAACTTTTAGTGAAAGTGAAAGAAGATAATGCAACAGTAGTGCTGCAGTTGAACATTAAGAAGACAGAAAAGTATAACTACAGAAGAAGTATGTAACTTTAGCATTGACAGTGAAGAAACTGAAACTTTTAAAGATTTTCAATACCTTGGTTCAGTCATAAATCCAAATGGGAAGTGAAGTCAAGAAATCAGCAGAAGACTGAGGCTTAGAAGGGCAACTATGAGAGAACTAGAAAACATCATGTGTAAGTCCAAGATAATCTACACTATTGTATTCCCTGTCACTATGAATGTAAAAGCTGGACAGCAAAGGAGACTGATAGGAAAAAATTGATTCATTCTAAATATGTTAATAAACAAGGGGTTTATGGATTCAATGGACCAGGAGAAAGACAAATAAATGGCCTAGATCAAATCAAGCTTGAACTCTTCCTACATGCAAAAATGACAAGACTAAGGCTGTCATATTGTACATAATGAGAAAATAAGACTCACTGGAAAATACAGTCTTTCTGGGAAAAGTTGAAAGCAGCAAGAAAAAAGGAAGACCAACATACGAGATGGATTGATACAATAAAGGAAGCCATGGCCTTCAGCTTTCCAGAGCTGAGAAGGGCTATTAATGATAGGACAATCTGGAGGTCACTCATTTATAGGTCACCATGAGACCAAAGTGATTTGACAGCACATAACAGCAGCAATCTGTTGGAATAGGTCATCCTCTCATCTCACATGTGAAGCTGAGACTGAAAGACAAAGGGTTGTTTAAGGTTGCCTGAACACACTTGTCTGGTTTGAAATCACAAATATTTTCCTAGCTTACAGAAAATATAGGTTTTCTGATCTATCACTGTCTTACACTTAGCAATCAAGCAAACATTGTAGCACAACCAGAAGGGAAACGGTTCACTCAGATGAATATGGTATTGTGATTATTTACATGATTTTAGGTTGGTGATGTTAACTTATTAATGTTTCCTCAGCTGTTGCAAGGAAATAGTTGCCTCAATAACTCGCAAGAAAATGGCTACTTTTGAACCAGATGCAGACCATGAACTGAAACAATTGGAGAAAATCAAGGTAAGTAAGACCTGATGCATTTGCCAGATACTCCTTTTTAAAAATAAATTTAAAAAAAACAGTTTGACATCTTACATGAATTTTAACATGGAGAAATGTTTATATATCAGAGTTATATCTAGCCCCATGGAATCAGTAAAACATGATGGACATTAAAAAACAGGTGATGTTTTGACTACTGTTTCTCAGATGGACATCCATTGTTAACTTACAGGATGATCACCCAAGCATATAGCTTGCATTTTGAACTGCTTGTGGCATGGTCTGATGCAAGCCATTTCCTGGCAGTCATACAATGTACAGGAAATAGTGCTCCAGGCAATTTCTGATCTGTGCTCAAGCTGGACCAAAAAGGTCCAGTAGTGGGGCTACTACTTTGTGGAGCCAAGTTGGAACAATTCCCTGAAGGGTGGCTTTAAGTGAAATTGTATCTGGTAAAGCAACCCTTTCCAGTGCATTCGCGAAGGCTTTCATGGCCAGGATCTGATGGTTGTTGTGGTTTTTCGGGCTCTTTGGCCCTGTTCTGAAGGTTGTTCTTCCTGACGTTTTGGCAGTCTCTGTGGCCGGCCGCTTTAAGCGGGACGGGGGAACAGAGCATGGACAGACTTCCTACTTCTGTTCCTCTGAAGATGCCGGCCACAGAGACTGGCGAAACGTCAGGAAGATCAACCTTCAGAAGATGGCCAAAGAGCCCAAAAAATCCACAACAACCTTTTCAGTGCCATCAGACTTGCTTCTTTTTAACAACTAATTAGTTACCAATAGAGCCAGAACTCCGCTTCCAGCTGTCTCATTATTGTCTGAGGCACAGAGGATGAATCATGTCATATTCTTCCTTCACCATAAAAAAGTGGAATTTACTGCCCGCTTCATAAGTTCTTCAAGTTATTTTCCCATCTTGATTCTCCTTTTTCTTTTTTGAGAATGCTATTACATTTTGTTACTGTTATTTTAACATTTTATGCCTTTTATGCTTGTTTCTTTGTACTTGCATGAGATGCCAAATACTAGTTTATGATTGGTTTAATCTGTGTTCTTGCCTATAGCCTGTTTGGCTACAAAGCAATAAAGTTATCTGTATTCTTCCTGTACCATTTAGTCAGAACATCCTCCTCAGAGCTTAGCCATTTGTTTTTATTTTAGAAATAAGTTTTAAAAACATTGCCTCTGGACATTAGCTCATCTTATATGCACCAGTCTATCATATAACTGATAACCCATTGGTTTTCAGCTGTTTGCCTCTATTTTTTTAAAGAAATTTGTTCCTTGTTATAATTATGATATTATTATAAAGAAACAAATTGCAATATGTGTTAAAAATCATTGATTTGTTTAATATTCATCCCTTCATATTCATCAATTCCAAATACCCTGATGAATACGAAGGGACAAATATTTCTCCATTTTTATTCGTCCCTCATATGTAGAGTGGGAAGGCTAGCCTTCTTACTCTGCCTATGGGTCCGCTGAACAGCTGATCAGTTGGCTGATAGGCAGACAGCACCCCCACAGCCTACCCCCACCCTCTTTCCCTCCCTACTTTGGCTGCCACCTCCTGTGCCACTGCCGCCCATGCTGCCACAGCCTCTGCTGCCATCCTAACAAAGAACAGCCTGCCATAAGGGAAACAGGGCTGCCCTTTGCAAAGATGGCAACTGCGGCTTCCCTTAGGTCAGGGAAGCCACAGCCGCCATCTTTGCAAAGGGTGGCCTGGAGTCCCTTATTGCAGGTTGTGGTGGCGCAGGCTATGGCGGCACAGGTTGTGATGGATGGCAATAGAGGCTGTGGCATCAGGTGGGTGGTGGGCAGCAGCAGCACAGGCAGTGGTGTGGGCGGCAGCAGCATCGCGGGAGGTGGGCATGGACAATGGTGGCCAAGGTAGGGAAGTGATGGGGCAGTGGGAAGTGGGCAGGGAAGCAGATTGTGGGGGGCAGGATGCTCAGCAATTTAGACAGCCTCAGGCTGTCTAAAAAAACCCTGACAAACCAACAAACCAATTCACGACTTGACACTTCACGGGCAGGTAATTTGTGGTTTGTGATTCATCCACAAACCAGGACAAACTGCTATTTTGACAGTTCGTCTCCATCTTTGTTACTAATTACTTTTTCAGATAAAATCATTGCTATTAATTTTAACACTGTTATGCATCATTATAGCATCCAAATAACTACCATAGCTACAAAAGAGTCTTAAAAGATTATATTTTCACTACAAGAGGAATAAAATTACCTCTTGTTCAGTTACAATTGCAGTGTTATGTAGTTATGTCTTTGTAACTGGGGAAATAAATTAATTACAAATAATGAAATATTTTTAACTATTTGTGACTTCTAAGTTTTTACACTTAACATGCATGCAGGATGAACGTGCTGGACCTTATGAGAATATTTTCTCCCACACCTATGAGTGAATACAGTGATCTAGTTCCCAAAAAAGGATCCTGCTGAGTGCAACTCTCCACCAGCTTAGTAACACTGGACTTCCAGCTTGTTTGTTGCACATGTGCACAATGCTGCTGCAACGACCCCATTTTTGCTTGTGCAAGGAGGTGTTGGATGTAAGCTTGTCCGTTCTCCTAGAAGAATCAGACAGTTCGGGATAGAGAGGCTCCAGAGTTAGTACACTCCTATTTGGGATGAGATGAGTCCTTGTCCCATCCAGGCAGTCTCACTACACTCCTTTCCCAAGTCCATTCCCAGTTAAAAACCATTGAGAAACCAAAATATAATCATGAGTCTCAGAGTCATGTAGATCTCTCAGTACTCAAGAAAATATTGGACTCAAGGTAGCTAGTTCCGTGGCCTATAAGAAATCAAATTAAGTATTGGTAGCAGATTGTGTCTGTTCAAGAGATCAAACATAAGATCTTTGGTATAATTGTTTTATTAGAAAAATAAAGATTTAAAAGAATTCAGTTTATGCAAAAGCAAAGCAATCAGAAACATTTCCATAACTAAACAGTTAGAAATCCAGCAAACTCCAGCTATAAAAATGAAATCAATAAAATCACTATCTAAGAAAAATTAGGAAAGCCATTGCCTCCCCTCTAGACTACTTTTAAAAACTACATCCTAATGAATTTCAGGTACTTCAAAGTCCATCTAAAAATCCATAGTCCATAAAAACCATACCAGTCCTTCTAGTAATCCATAAGGAAAAAGTCTCTCCTAAAATCCATAAGGCAAAAGTCTCTCTAGAAATCCATGAGTCGAAAAGCCCCTTAAAAATACATGAGGCGAAAAGTCCCTTCTCTCTCTCAGCAATCCTCCATTTTCCCCCCATGCTGGAAAACCCCCCTTCTTCTTCTCCCCTGTCGACAGCCAATCAGGAAGAAGAAAAAGTTGTCCTTCTCTGCCTTACTTTCTCATGGAACCCAGGTGCTGTTTACATACTTCTGCTGGAATGTTTAGACTTCAGTAGGCCCTCTGTCTCCTGGTTACCAGATAAGAACACTGGCCTCTGTGAAGAAAACAGCATCTAGGGACTTCTAGTAAAATGACACAGACTTAAGATGGATTCCTTTTGGCTACTTCCATGACTACAGATCCTATTTAGAAATTACCTTCTGGCTTATATGACCTATGTCATCCCATTGGATACCTCCTTACGGGAGTGAGGAACAAAGTTAAAACACTTGTGCAACTGTGCATTACATAAGCAGTTTGATGGAACAGGATTCTGGGCATTGCCTTTATTTTCATCTCTTTACATAATGTACAGATAAATCTATAACAACAAGCCTTTTCTTCTGTCTGCAAATTGATTGCCCAGAAGTATTTATATTCTAATTTAAATTAATTTAAATATCCTAATTTATGGTACTATTGTGAGTGTTAGAATTCATGGAGAAGCTGAATTGATTAGCTTGTAGCCCAATCTAAACAATTAGCCATCCTTAGTAATGTATAAATACCAGAAGGACTGAATCTAGGTTCTTATACAGGTAAATACATTTTTAAAATTCTGTCCTCTCCTAATGTGTTCAATGTCATCTGAAGAAATATCTGCCACAATTGTCACTACTTATACAGACTTCTAAATATTATGTCTCATGTCATTTGAAACCACACTAATGAATATGAATTAGTGTTACAGCATAAACTACTGGATTTTTCCGTGTATAAGACTATACTTTTCTCTAAAATCTTTAGAATAAAAATTGAGGGTCGTCTTATACACGGAAGCTTAGGAGAGAACAAAAACAAGTGGAAGGGAAAGCAGGGATCAAAGTGATCCTGCAGGGCTTTGATCCCTTTCCCCCTACACTTGCTAAGTCCCACTTAAATTTCTTACTTTTGGGTTAGAAAAGTGGGGGGGGCGTCTTATACACAGAAAAATACGGTAATAGGAAAGCAAGAGAACTGGGGTGGCTGAGGGAGAAAATTCTTAAAACTGTCTTTCTCTAGTATCATCCTAACCTCTCCTCAGTCTGGGTATGTAAGAGTCATCCTCACAGAAAATGACTCATATGACTCAATAAGAGAAATAGCACGGGCATCGGAGTCAGTGCTATTTAATTTAGAACTGGAGAAATGAACACAGTTGTAGATCTGTGTTGGAAATCAGTTACAGATCTCCACATTTCATAGCTTCCAAACGTGAAAGCAGTTGTTCTGTACAGCATGATTCTGTGTAAGAGCCTCTCTGGGAAAATACAAAGAGCAATGCATTTCTACTCCTACCTCATTTCTTTTTTCTTTTTAACTTTGTTTTTCTTTTTGATTGTTTTACATCTTTCTAGACTGAGTGCCTGGATTGGATTGAGACCTGTACTCTTCTGCTGTCTGGAATGAAGATGACCCCCACCAGCCTAATCAGCCAAGAAGAACTAGTCAGCTTGTTTGGATTAGAGGTACTGAAAGAATTGATTTTGGAGTCACACAGTAGGTGATTAGAATGTCGCTTAAGGGGAAGACAATGACCAATATGTATCATTAACTTATCCCCCCCACCCCGGGAAATAGTAATTTCATTTTCTTAGATACTTGTTTGTACGAACCCTGTCAGTGAGGGCCAAGTGATACTTTAGTGGACATGGAGGACGTAGGCAATCCCCCATCTCCAAGGAGATTAAGGGGAAGCCAGAGAAGGAGAGATTTCAGAGTTTAGCCAGTCCTTATTAGCTAAGATGAGCCCAATTTCTCAGCCAGGCCCTGACTAACCCTCCTTCCTCAAGTCCATCCCCTTGGTTAAGAAAAAGCAACAAACACAGACAATCCATGAGTTTACACTCAGGCAAATCTGGGCTCTATATGGTAGCAATTATACATGGCCAATTAGATAGGTTAGTCTGTTCAAGAAACCAATGCATGCAATTCCAAAACATTACTGCTTTATTAATACATATGGTTCAGAAAAGAATTCAGATTATAGTAAAGCATTTCAGTTAGAAACATTTTCATATCAAGGCTGACAGATCACCCCCATCACTCCAGCTATAAAAATAAAACAAGAAATGCATTCTAAACTAGGATAATGCATAAGCGTAGTCATTCTTACGTATCCTGAGACTTCACAGTCCATAGTCCAACAGGTAAGGTAAAATCCAGTTGTAATCCATTAGTCCATGTTGGCAAAAAGGCTCCATTCAAAAGTTATAATCCAATTTGGGAAAAAGCACATGTCTGTCCTTTCTCAGTCAAACTCCATCTTTTTCCAACTTCTCTCAACTTCCTTCTTCTTCCCAGGATGCCTCATAAGGAACACTCCCTCCTGGGTCTTGTTGTCCCGCCTAACTTTCTCATGGGAGCTTGAGTCGTTATCATGTTTTGTAGCAGAACTATTATGACTACCAGGAATGTAACTCTCTGGCTCTCCTTAGCAACTAGATAACCAGAGAACGAAGCTTCTCTGAAACAGCATGTAAAATTTTTCTACCACAGACACAGACATTAAATCAAGATGGATGCTATTGTGACAATCTTAGGACTACATATCCCATTCTCGTAACACATAAAAACACAAATCATCACAGAGGACAGTAACATTTCTTCACCACAGTAATGCTCTTTCTCTGTTGCATTAAATACAATCCTACAGGCGTGGATGGCAGGCATAGAAGAACATCACTTCATTGCCTCCCTGTTCCTCATTATTCTATCTGTGGAACTCAGCTCTGAAATATTTTTCATGGTCATCCTAGAGAGTATGAGCTAATATTATCTGGTGTATCCACTGTGACCATCATCCTTCCATTCAAAGATAGCTTTTAAAGAAAAAAGAGAAGCCACCATTAACAGAAGGAAGAGGCACTGGCAATATTTACTTGTTTCTCCTTTTTCTTGTGACCCACAAAATCTACTCCAGAGTGTTTGGGCTTGCTCTCAAACAGTGAGTGAGAGTGCATGGGAAATAGGCAAAATTATTTTCTAATCCTATCCCTTTCTGTTAACACAGACCTTCACTGAACTAAAAGCCTTTGAATAGTTTGTACAGGCAAAGGTCTTAATTGAAATGACCTCATAATTTTATTCAGTACCTTTGTGAGGCAATAAGTTACCCAAGGACATTCAACCTAGCATAAACTCCACCCACTTTTGTGAGGGGGGCAATATGTACTAGATGTTAGTATACAGAAACTAGATACAGTATATATTACTGAAATAGTTTAAATTTCAAGCAAGTGTCTGGCAAGAACTGGTGATCTTGTGTACACTGCTTTTATAGTTGCTTTATTTAATTTATAACTCTATATTTTGATGCAAAAGAATCCCCAGAGACCAGCTTCTTTCTTTCTTTCTTTCTTTCTTTCTTTCTTTCTTTCTTTCTTTCTTTCTTTCTTTCTTTCTTTCTTTCTTTCTTTCTTTCTTTATTTATTTATTTATTTATTTATTT